ATCATGTCAGAACCATCTTAAACACCCTCAGGAGGAATGAGCTATATTGCAAACCGTCTAAATTCGGCCGGACAGACGTTCTGTTTCTTGGGCACCGGATAGACGGCCAATGCATTTCTCCAGATCCAGAGAAGATCAAGGCCGTGCATAACTGGCCTGTCTCGACGACGGTCACGCACGTAAGACAGTTTCTGGGATTCGCTAATTACTTTCGAAGGTTCATTAACCATTTCTCGGCCATCTCCAAACCCCTGGAGGAACTGACAGGGAAACATGTGCGCTTCGAGTGGAATCAGACTCGACAGGAGGCATTTGAGCGATTGAAGTCTGCTCTGCTGGATGCACCAGTGTTGCGACTAGCAAACGTCAGTCAGGATTTCCGCGTTGAGACTGACGCAAGTGACTTTGCTGTGGCAGGAGTCTTAGTGCAGCAAGCAGAGGACCAGTCCTGGCATCCTGTGGCTTACGTGAGCCGAAAGCTGTCTTCTGCCGAACGGAATTACACGGCCGCCGAGCGAGAAACTTTGGCTGTAGTGTACGCCCTGCAGTGCTGGCGAGTCTACCTATTTCGCCACTTTCAACTCTACACCGACAACATGGGAGTTGTCTACCTCAGGACCAAACCAAACTTAACCAAGAGAGAGGCTCGATGGATTGAATTCCTGGCCGACTATGACTACACGGTACATCACAAGCCAGGGAAGTGTAACATAGCAGACCCGTTGTCACGTCGACCAGACTTGGAACTGAATGGAATCGAGTTCTCTCTGGATGTGAATCAAGGAATTGCGAATCAGATCTCAGCAGGGTATGATAGTGACCCAGAGCTTTCGCCAGTAATCAAGCGCTTGATGGCTTGCAGCGAAGACGCCATGCATGAGCGATACGTCTGGAGCAGTGTGGACCGGCGGCTGTACCTAGTAACATCGGGCGATGCTCGCCTCTGCATTCCTCGCGGTCCGGTACGGCTGCAACTGCTCAAACAGAATCATGATTGCCTGACGGCCGGCCATCCGGGGAGAGACAGGACCTACCTGAAGCTGAGCAGATACTTCTATTGGCCAGGCATGAGAAGTACTGTGAAGGACTTCGTTAAATCTTGCGACCGGTGCCAACGCGTAAAGGGTAGCCAGACCAAGGCAGGACTGTTGCAGTCCCTTCCAGTCCCCGAGCAGCCCTGGACAGACATCAGCATGGATTTCATCATGGCACTGCCGCTGACCTGCCGAGGACATAGCGCCATTCTAACCTTTGTGGACCGTCTGACGAAGTATGTGCACCTGATCCCGACGACTGTTCATGTTGACTCTAAGGAGGCAGCCCGATTGTACGTGGATCATGTGTTTGCTGCCCATGGCTTGAGCAAAACGATAGTTTGTGATCGAGATCCGCGATTCACGTCGGCGTTCTTCAAGGAGGTTTTCAGTATTCTTGGCATGGAGCTAAAAATGAGCACGGCCAACCACCCGCAGACCGATGGCATGACTGAGCGTGTGAACCGTGTCATTGAGGATACGCTAAGAGCTTTCGTCAACCATAGGCAAAACAATTGGGATGAACTCCTATCGCTATGTGAGTTTGCGATCAACAATGCCGATCAAGCGTCAACAGGTAACACGCCATTTTTCCTCAACCATGGATGCCATCCAGTTACTCCCTCGAGCTTATTGACGAAGCAGAAAGCTGGAGCTGGCATGGACACGAATGGTCCGCTGTCATGGCTGGATGGCCGCGTAGAGGCACTACGTGAGGCACAGGATGCCATCGTAGCGGCGCAGGCCCGACAATCATTGTATGCGGATCGAGGACGGGTGGAGGACGCCCTGAAGGAGGGGGATGAGGTGTTGGTCTTCAGGGACTTCCTGCTGACGCCCGAGGAACGAGACAGGCCTTCACACAAATTAAGGCTCAAGTGGTATGGGCCGTTCAAGGTGCAGAAGAAAGTGGCCCCGAATGCGTACAGATTAGCTCTTCCAAGAATCATTCGGGCCCATCCAGTGTTCAATATTGCTGCCCTCAAGCTGTACCATGGCAATGAGATACCGGGCCGTACTCAGCCGGCACCTCCACCCCTAACCGATGCGGATGGCCATACGCGGTACATTGTCGAAAAGGTGTTGTCGCACAAGAAGAGAGGACGGCGCACGCAGTACCTAGTGAAATGGAAGGGCTACCGAGATGCCACCTGGGAGCCGGAGGAATACTTGATGGATGAAGCAGGAAACGCTATTATTCCGCTGAAAACCTACCTGGACCGTTTTTCATAAAATTGCTATTTAATTGGCAGCCACAGTTGTATTGCTAGTTTCTACGTGTTGCAATAGAAATGTAGCATTCTGCATGATTAGGATAGTGCTTCCCTGCCAGCCAGGCGTTATTTGCAGAGGACATGCACTGGATCTTGAGTTCATCAGTGTTGTTTTCAGCTACCATGCATTCCACATATCCATGCATGATCATTAGTTACCATAACTGTTCCTTCGAATTGGTACTGTTCTGACAGTTGAGAGGGGGGAATGGTGTAACAGATTCACTGTTACTACTAACACTAGGAATAGGATACACTTATCACCTGCTATTATCACGCTGCTGCTGTTAGGTGTTATGTCCATCATTGCTTGTTCATGTATATAAGAATGCATTATGGCAAGGATCATTGCTTATTCCAAGAATGACTACTGAAGTTAGTTGGACTGTTACAGTATTGATGTCGGCCTCTCTTGTACAGTCTCATGATGTTTCTCTTCAGTCTCCCTAATCCGTTTTCCTTCTCAACACCCATGAGTGGCGCTTGCTTGGTCGTGGTTGCAAGCAGTCTCGTGTCATTGTCTAGATGTAGCACGGGCCTCCCCGTATCCGTCTGATGAGAAGCTGCTTGCGTCAGGGTTTTTCTCCGCCTCTTCTTTCCACCTAAGACCAAACGCCAGTGTCTCCACCCCCACCTCCGCCTGCTGTACTGTTTACTTCGTCATGCGTCTGCCAGGAATAAACTTTGGTCCGAGCTCCATCACCTTTCTCGCTACCTCTAGCACCTCGCTCTCTACCACTTCCTCAATCACAGCTCTCCTTTTCCGCTTCTGGGCATCCATAGCTGGGGCCTGCTCTGCCAATGCCTCCCTACTCCTCACCAAACAGTCCAACTTCCTTCTCAGTCGCCCCGTCTCGTCCTCCCGTACACACTCGCTCATTTGACTGCAATGGCCTGTCACCCATGTCGCTCTGCCTGGCAACATCCTCCTATGGACTTCCAATCGCAGAGATGCGTGTCGTGTCGTTGAGTCGTCTTATGCAGGTGAACTTGTCCTTTATGATTTGATTCAGTACTAGTTGTTGGAAACGGGTCTCTTCTTTGGCCACGGCGGCTCCAAAAAGATGCGTAGCCTTCGAACAGTTCCGAATACATCCAGGAATAACACCATTATGTCGACAGGCTGTAAGGCATTTGATGGATCACCTACTCATAGACAACGACACACTACATTTCACCAATTCCCAGGGGGGGGGGGGGGGGAGTGTGATCTGGACCAACAGGATAAGCTTGTCTAAGCACTCGTAGATTCCGTTGCAGCCATTCACACATTACAGTAATGTGTGAGTGGCTGCTGTAATGTGTGAGTGGCTGCAATGGAGTCTACGAGTGCTTAGACAAGTTTAACGTATAATTATACTAAAAGTATTCTCAAACACTCCATTAGAGCCAACTCTGACTACGTTCCATTTTGCCTTTTTGCTGATCATTTATGTCGACGTTCACCCATGATTTCGGCCGTTAGTTTTACCATATTGGAAGGTGCCAAGAGCTCCAAAATTTTGGCGCATAGATCACTCATTTAGTGGACATTTCAAAGCCATTAAAAACTCATTTTCGCCAAATATCACCTAACCCTGGTTTTTACTGCCCATGCCTCATATGAATTAGGGAATTAGAGGCCACATGCCTTGTACTGCTCTTTTCTCTCTGAACCACAACACTTGAAAAAAGAAAGAACTAATCATTAGTCACAAACGCGGGACTCGAACCAAGTACCTTGCTATTCGGGAGCAATTCTCTAACCAACTGAGCTACAGTATGACTCTTGTCCAAAGTGATGGCAAATCTATCCTTCTTTGGTCAATCAATATCTGGCTTGCATCATACTGGATATATGGCATAGGAAAAAGCTGAATTTTCTCATGAATATCCACCATCTTCATCACATCACCAATAATCACTTGTACTCCCAAACCAATAGTATCCCTATTACCTATATTTGCAGAGAAAGTCGACTTCTATGGTTTGGCCATCTGGCACGGAGCTCTCCTTCTCACCACCGCCTCTATCAGTTCACGCCTGGCGCCTAGTCGATGCATGGTTGGTGGTAACCAACATAGCAGGCTGGTACATCAAGTAGCGCATGGCACATAAAAGATGATCAGAACTTTGCAGCCTAGAGAACATGTGTGGGCAGGCGTGTGTTTACCGCCATATTGCCAGGTGTGTCTTTACTACCATATTTATCAACCATAAGTACAGCTGCTGTGGTGTCTTAAACTTCATGCTCCCGAGTCAAGCTCCGTATGAAGACATCCAAGAAGAAGATTGCCTGATGAGTCCAGCGGGGACGAAACGTACGTCGCAATCGAGCTATGTCGTTGCTGTGTCATCTTTTATGTGCCATGCGCTACTTGATGTACCAGCCTGCTATGTTGGATACCGCCAACCATGCATTGACGAGACGCCAGGCGCGAACTGCTGGTGGTGGTGGTGAGAAGGAGAGCTCTGTGCCAGAACTTTGCAGCCTGGAGAGTGTGTGTGGGCAGGCGTGTGTTTACCGCCATATTGCCAGGTGTGTCTTTACCACCATATTTATCAACCATAAGTACAGCTGCAGTGGTGTCTTCAACTACAGTATCCGAGTTACATTAGAATATTTCGGTCTATAGTAAATGTTTAGTGTGCTCTGTCATTTTTTAGTGTGCCCTGGCTCATCAGAAAACTTACCGTCAAGGTACTGTTTAACTGTCCAGTCCACTTCTAGTCCGTGATAAGGGTGATGTTCGCTTATTTCGTATTTCCTTCTTAGTTTTTCAATGAAGTCTCTGACATTCAATAAGCTGCATAGTCGATGATCCAGGTGTAGATTATTTCGCCTCAGATTTCTGTAGAGAATATCATGGTACAGGCATACAGGCATATGACGAAACATGTTGGAGGGTTCAACCAAGGTCAAACGCAAGCATCAATCTGTGTTCATGACGTGTACAAACTTATCCTGAATGGAACATAACTTACCCTGAATATACTCATGCAAACAAAGTATTATGAAAGCATGTCTGAAAGCCAGAACAATTGTGCAAGTCGATCTCTCCAATTTTGCTCAAATTCCGCAAGTAGGTTTGCTTTGTGGTATGCATGGACTGTGTAAAGCCCTTGAAAAAGTTTCTAAGGCTTTGTTTACATGAGAAATTTGAACCCAGGTTGAAAGTCTGTACGATAGACAAAAGAGGTGAGCGTTTACATGAAGACAGTTGACCCGGGTCAAATACTGATATGCCGCCAAAAGTCCACTTCTACAGTCCTGTATGGTCACGTGAATCCGTTCCCGCGAAATTTGCATCTGCAGTGCCGTTCAAACCTGGCGCGAGATACACACAGAAGTACGTTTTTTTTTCAACCCGGGTCAAGCGCAATGCGTCATGTAAACGCGCCATTCATTCTGTGTACATGGCGGGTTGAAATCTGACCCGGGTCGAACTCAACCCGGGTTGAAACGCTTCATGTAAACACAGCCTTAAGAAACCTTGATACTGGCATACCCCTGAACAAATTGTCGAAAATCGCATGATTTACGGATCTACAAACAAACCACGCAACTCCGTACACGGAGAAGCTACGAGAGAAACTCCACCTGACCAACATTACCTCACCTAAGAAGAGTTCCTGGGGTACCACCACTTGGATACGCCAGCATCCCAGAAAAAAGGGTCACCATCCCCTGACGCCACAATTGATCGTTTTTGAAAATAGTAAAATTACAAGCGATGATAAAACAGCAAGCCACGTCCTCAATTAGCAACCAAAGTACACGGGCAGATAGTAGAACACCTTTTCTAGCACTGAGCACATGTTCCCCATCATCCTTTTTGGGTTCTCTGGAAATAAACAATTTTGAATTTTTCCACTCGACAATGCTGAAATACATCCAAACTCATACCATATGACAAGGAAATGCAGCGGTGATCACTTGTTACTCAAAACGACAAGCTTCTCCTTGCGCTACCAACATTTTGTTGGTGCACCAGTTGATGCAAAATGACTGATGTTTTGAGGGTTTGCTCTTTGTTTTGGTATTCCCTAGTTGCCTTGATTCTTTTATTTTATTTTCTGATTTGTGCCTTGTGCAATGGCAAATTTCCTGCCTTCGTGGTGCCCGTGCGTCGTACGTCAGGAGGCATGCCGGTGGCGGCGCTCATAGCTTCGTCATAGAGTGCCGGGCCCGGGCTCATCTTTTGACCTGACTGTGACCATCAATGTTCTTTTCACATGGACTGATTTTATTTATTAATTCACTATTCAAACCGGATCCATTTTTGTTATTTTTGTTTTTTTGTTTTACTGTTTGTTGAACGTTTTGCTTTGATTTACTGTGGAAACGTGCTGACTGTGTTTTATCCATGTAAGGGTGGGGTCTATTTGATCGCGGCTTTTTAGTGGTTTCTATGATGATTTACTGTGCCTCATACTCACTCGTACGCGGGCAATACCGGCTTGATACATCATGTCGGACCTCACGGCTGACGCCGTTCGGTCATGTATCATCAGCCGGTATTGCCCTTGCACTCGCTTGTACTCGTGCAGTAAATCATACATTTTTTTAGTTGTCAGAAACCTCTTTTACGGGCGAACAAAACAAGACATAGATACGTCCTATAAAATAAAATATAGTAAATTATCGTGTCCGTTGCCGAAGGGAACTCACGACGGCCGCTAACACCCGGTAAACCAGGGTTTCTTCCTATAAACACAGCTAAAACAGGTTAGGTATGCTATTCCGTGATAAATCTATAATTCCCTCATAATCGGTCAATATATGAAATATAGACCTCGTAAAAGACTTCCGGGGGACCTCGGTCTTTTACTCGTTCTATATTTCATATATTGACATCTTTAATCGTGCAATAATAGATACATGTTGGGGTACTAAAAAAGCTATTTCGGACTAGTTTTTCAGGCCCAAAACGAAGCTAGTTATAAATAAACACCTCTGTCTTGTGTTTATGGGACTATAAACACTTCCTTTAAGAACTTTGGCTGCGCCTCGGTATTTATAGCAGTGTATACATTCCCATATACTCACAGCTCTTTAAGATTGCTATTGCGGGCAAAGAGATTGGGAGGTAGAACTGAAAGTCTATTAGAATTCAACATCCTGCATGATCACAAGAGCAACATATATATATATATATATATATATATACTCAATCTGCGGACAGCATGCTGTTTCGTTCTTTTTGAACTCATCAGCGCAGCACAGAGGAAATGAGGCCGAACCTGATAGCAATGGAAATAAAAAATTCCAATCAGGCCCGAACGTACCTTGCCAGAGTGCTCAAACTGACAAGTCAGTGAGCTCTGCATCACGCAAACAGCAAAGGCACTACCCCACGCAAGAGTGCTCAACTGCTACAAGAGCAGGAGCGAAATACTCAATCTGCGGACAGCATGCTGTTTCGTTCTTTTTGAACTCATCAGCGCAGCACAGAGGAAATGAGGCCGAACCTGATAGCAATGGAAATAAAAATTTCCAATCAGGCCCGAACGTACCTTGCCAGAGTGCTCAAACTGACAAGTCAGTGAGCTCTGCATCACGCAAACAGCAAAGGCACTACCCCACGCAAGAGTGCTCAACTGCTACAAGAGCAGGAGCGAAATACTCAATCTGCGGACAGCATGCTGTTTCGTTCTTTGTGCATATATATATATATATGCACTTAGACACAAAGGATTTCCAAGTTTTTCAGTGTTGCTACTCTGAGTTTCGTGCAAGTGCACTCTTCAGGCAACTTTCTTTTCTCTCACATCAGTATCCCTTTACATACCAGAAAAGACGAAAAGGAGCACCCTAGGTGGGAATCACAGGTGGAGAAAAGAAGCACACTAGCCAGTCTAGGTGAGAATCACAGGTGAAGATAAGTGTGGCAAGTGTGGTGGTGTGAGCAATTGCGCAGGCCGGGTGGTGTTCATAAAGTGAAGTGTGACAATAGGATGCATGCACATTAGATAGCAGGAGTTCTGCATATGTGCACTAGATAGCAAGCGCAGTCTACAGTTCAGGTCACGCCTGATAGGAGGTACTTGGTGCTGTGGCGACATTTTGTGACCAGGCGGCATCTGGTGTTGAGGAGCGATGCCTTGTCACTCTTCATTATGGCGATTTTCTCCGATAGGCATAGGTTGCACCGTTTCGAGGTTCTTTTGTAGGCGCTGGATCTCTGCCTGATTCTCCACACTGATTCTCACCTGCCTCCTTCAGCGCCCATGCATGCTTTGACAAGTCTGTGCTGTGGGGCATTCCAGAACGATGACGTGTGGTTGTTGAACCGGAGCTTGAATGGGGTTTCAAAGATGCCGATGTACTTCTTCTGGCTGAGATTTGAGTCCACTGTAGCTTCGTATACTATTTCACTGGCGTTGCAATCCCCGTTGAGTGGGCAGTCTGCTTTGATACGGCAGTTGCATCTCTTCTCTTCCGGCTGTCTGAGGACTTTCGCGTTGTGGCCCTTAATTATCGAGGCTAGGTTGGGTGAACAGCTGTAGCTGACTTTGAGCGTGTTTTTGTTGAATATTTTTCTGCGGGCAGATCCTTCTGGGAAATGGCGCTTCACAAGTCTCAGGAATCCCGCGGCAAAATCAGTCTTCACGGACTGGCTGTACGGTGGGTTAAACCAAATGATGTTCCTCTTACAATTAATCTACGTGGAGACAATCATTTTAATATAGCCATGAATAGGATGAAGGCCGCAGACATCACGCAACTACGTTTAAAAATTGTTTGATATAGATGTGACTATGGGCTCCTTCAACGGGGCAGAGGTGTGCGAGCTCGTGGGATCATTCCTGCTGAATCAGTTAGCCAACCATTTCGAAAAGGACACGATAGGGTTATACCGAGACAACGGCCTCGCCCTATTGAAAAACGCAACCGGACCAGGTGCAGATCGAGCTCGCAAGGACATCTCTGCGCTGTTTAACACACACGGCCTCAAGATTACAGCCCAAACGAACCTGACCACAGTGGACTTTCTGGACGTGGCCCTAGACATACAGAGTGGCAAGTATAAGCCGTACCGCAAACCAGGCGACACGCCTTTGTACGTTAACAGCAGCAGCAACCACCCACCGGCATCCTGAAAAATATATCCCCAGCAGTGGCTCGATGATTGTCAGACATCTCCGCAGACAGCCAAGTATTTACAGAAGCTGCACCGCTTTACAGGACAGCACTGGCATCGAGCTTCTTACAAGACAACATAGCATACGTTGAAAAGAACACACCCAGAAGGAACAGAAAAAGAAAACGCAAAGTAATATGGTTCAACACGCCCTTTTCCAGCAACATGCTGACGGATGTGGGAGCCGCATTCCTACGACTTGTCAAGCGGCATTTCCCCAGAGGCTCGAGGCTGGTGAAAGTCTTCAATTTGAATACAGTGAAAATCAGTTATTCGTGTATGCCCAACGTGTCGGCATTCATCAGCGGCCATAACAAACGTATTCTGGAACAGCCAAAGCCTGACCTACCCTGTAACTGCCGTGTCAAGCCGAACTGCCCCCTTCATGGTGAGTGTCAGGCAACAAATGTCATTACCAAGCGGAAGTAACCAGAGAAGACAACGAAAATATCAAACACTACATCGGCTCGACGGAGCCAGCATTCAAGAACCATTTCAACAACCACATATCATCTATGCGCCATCCAAAGTACGAGAATGCCACCGAACTCTCGAAATACACATGGAAAATGAAAGAGAAAGGCAAACAGACATCCATCAGATGGTCCATCATGAAGAAATGCCGAGCCTACAGCAACATCAGGAAGAGATGCAACCTCTGCCTGGCAGAAAACCTGCAGGTCATCACCGCGGACAAGACAACGCTACTGAACAAGAGGAGTGAGCTTGTATCAAAATGCCGACACGCCAACAAATTCCTACTCAAAAGCCACAGTGCAGCAGTGACATAATCACAGGTGTGCAACATCCCCAATACACACATATGCACACACACACATACATGTACAATCATGTACACACATACACACCTGCGTGCAATTGCAAAACCAACATACAGTGTACTGTGGCACGATCTGAAGCGAGCACATACGCATGAGCCTAGAGCCAGTCCGCATCACCAATAACACTTTAACAGTTCTGAGGGATTACCGTCACACCCTGGCTGCTGTCTACAAATTCACACCTTCCATTTCTATATTCAATAGCAATCTACACTTTCTGCGCTAATACCCCGGTACTGTAATAGCTCCCTCACCTAGGCAACCATCCACACGGCCATCATGGCAATATTTTCTGTGCTGAATCAACCGCCAACCAGCTATCGCTATTTCAAATTTGGATCGCTAGTCTATGCTTTATATTGGCCAAGTCCCACTGAGCATGTAGTAGTCGCCTGATGATTGCATTGAGCAAGAAACTCCGAGTTGCGACAAACCTGTAAAACTCTTGTTTGACATGTATTAATATAGCTATGAACAGGATGAAGGCCGCAGACATCACGCAACTACATTACTTGCTCGACATGTATTTACTGTGTATTTTATAACAAAAATATTATTGAAAACCCAGAATCGATTTTCTTGTTCCTATCATCAGTGGGAAAAATACGGAACTAAGGATACAACCAAAGAAACTGAAGTTAAGTACTGTAAATAGAAATGTGTTAGAAATAACAACAAAATACAAGTGCAATAAAACCACGAGAGGAAACGCAAAAAGGTAACAAGATTACGTAACCAAAGGCGAGAAGGCGCTAAACGAAGTGTCAACCTACGAATACAACTTCAGTGCAACAACGTGCTCCTTCTGCTTACACAAACCAGGCTTATGAATACGTATAAAAACTGCCTCAAGGACTTTCAACTGTTGGACATAACGCGCACGACACAGTACAGAAAAATGAGAGTCATCATACACACTAAGACAGTCTTAGTGTGTATGATGACTCTCATTTTTCTGTACTGTGTCGTGCGCGTTATGTCCAACAGTTGAAAGTCCTTGAGGCAGTTTGTATACGTATTCATAAGCCTGGTTTGTGTAAGCAGAAGGAGCACGTTGTTGCACTGAAGTTGTATTCGTAGGTTGACAATTCGTTTAGCGCCTTCTCGCCTTTGGTTACGTAATCTTGTTACCTTTTTGCGTTTCCTCTAGTGGTTTTATTGCACTTGTATTTTGTTGTTATTTCTAAAACATTTCTATTTACAGTACTTAACTTCAGTTTCTTTGGTTGTATCCTTAGTTCCGTATTTTTCCCACTGATGATAGGAACAAGAAAATCGATTCTGGGTTTTCAATAATATTTTTGTTATAAAATTCACAGTAAATACATGTCGAACAAGTAACGTAGTTGCGTGATGTCTGCGGCCTTCATCCTATTCATAGCTATATTAAAATTATTATCTCCACGTAGATTATTTGACATGTATTACTGTGTATTTCATGGCCAGCAATCGAGGACATCTGAGAGTTGTAATTTTTGTACTCCTCCAAGGTGTGATTTTTGGCGTGCTGGGCCAAGCACAAGGAAGCCATCTGCAAAAAACTGCAGTAAATGGTTGTTGTTTGATCCTTTGGTGTAATCCTTGTTTGTAGTCGAAGCTAGTTGCTGTTTGGAGCAGAAACGCTGAAATTGACTATTTTCTGCATGTACTCATGTACTCAGGCATGCAGTCTCACTCGTATTTTAGCTCTTTTTCTGGAATGGATGCTGCTCTGCGCCCCTTGGTGAACATTTCCTGCGCTCGTGGAGCAGCTGAAAAGGACCACTGGTATGTCTGGTTCCTGGTTTGAAAGTGGAGAGTCGACTTTTGTGCCTTGAAAAAGGAGTAGAGAGCGATAAAGGTACGTCTGTGGCTTATTTTTGAGTGCTCCTCGTGCAATTTTGATCGTGATAGAAATTCTCAGACCAAAGTCAGACCAAAGTCAGCGCGATGATGGCCGTACAGTTTTCTTGTTGATTTGTTTAGTTGTTTCATCTCGTATCTATGTCAGTATCGTGATGGTGAAGTGGAGAGGGTGATTTTCTTCCTCTAGGCTTCGTTCGGCCGACTTTGTTTCGTCCTCGTTGAAAAGTGATCCGGAAAAAAAGGTCGATTCGCAAAATTATGTTGATTATGAATGTGCGTGATGACATGTTGTTGCTGGCTATGTTATAACAAAAATATCATTGAAAACCCAGAATCGATTTCTCGTTCCTATCATCAGTGGGAAAAAACGGAACTAAGGATACAACCAAAGAAACTGAAGTTAAGCACTGTAAATAGAAAGGTGTTAGAAATAACATCAAGATACAAGTGCAATAAAACCACTAGAGGAAACGCAAAAAGGTAACACGATCACGTAACCTGTCAACCTACGAATACAACTTCAGTGCAACAACGTGCTCTTTCTGCTTACACAAAACAGGCTCATGAATACGTACACAAACTGCCTCAAGGACTTTTAACTGTTGGACATAATGCACACGACATAGTACAGAAAAATGAGAGTCATCATACACACCAAGACAGTCAGGACGAGATAACAAGTGTAGATACACAGCTGACTTCTTACGATCAACACATTCATCCGCCTCACCTCGCTCCTTCCCACCCGACTCCTCCTCGTCCATCTCATCGTCCTCTTCCTCGTTCCGCTCGTCATCCTCACGATCATCATCACTACCATCATCCGCCTCGTCCCCTGTCTCTTCACCAACCGTTTCGTCATCCAATTCCTCTTCCATGCTCTGATCATCCGTCTCATCCTACGTTTCTGAACAGACCACTTGTCTCCCATTTGCTAGCTGCTCGTCCCGTGCGCGGAGTTGTTCCTCCAGATCCGCTTCACTCACTGGCTCATGATACTGCTCGACCCTCCTCCTCTGTCCACAACGGGCGGTCCTTGGCTGTTTCTGGCATAAATCTCTATGGAGTAGTTTGCTGTTGCCCTCCGAGGTCTCTGGATTAATTTGGGCGCCGTGGCAATTCGTGTGAGAGTTGGTGATACCAGCGCGAGTGTAGGTTGGTCCACCCCAGCCCCCGCCACAAGAAGAGCCGGTGGCGGTTCTGGTGGTGGCAAGGGCAACGGCGGTGCTGCTGGAGTTGGCAAATTGGGCAGCCTAGCTCTCCCACACAGCACTGGATTTTGTGTTGGCACAGGGGGTGGGTTCTTGCGCGGTCGGCCACGCTTCGGCCGCTTGGATTTAGCAGCATCCGGCAGAATATGCAGTGGTACATGCTGTTTGATATGTGCGGTCAGGTGTTGAAGGGTCCTACCAACATACCGGCTACCACAATTCCGGCACTCAAATTGGTAAACCAAATGGCTCAAAAGATGGGATGGTAGGACGTCCTTCCTCACCATGAACGCACGTATCGTCGTGAATACAGGAATGAAGTGTGCTGCGGAGTATGTTTTCATTACTAGCGTCTTGACTGCCCGGCACATGGTCAGCGATGTGTTTCCTTTCTAAGGCAAACAAAGATAAATTGGGCATCGAGCAGGACCAATTCTCACTTCTTTCGATTTCTATGCTGTTTTCATTAGTTTGTTGAGTACATCTTCAGGGTATCCGTTCTTTAGAAATACAGACTTTAAGAATTGTAACTCCTCGCTGAGTTTACTCGGCGAGCGAATGCGCCGTGCCCTGTCAACTAGGTTACGCACCAAATTCACTTTGTACTGGTAGGATCAGTACGAATCATACACAATATACTGCCCGGTGAACGTGGGCTTTCTGTATACGGAGGTAATGACATCGTCAATCGATTTCTCAACCAATACGTCAAGAAACGAGAGTTTGTTGTCGTGCTCGTGCTCGCAAAAGTAGTACAGAATGTGCCCAAATGCTACGACAGGTCTGCCAATTGAAGCTTAAATTCTTTGTTTCTTCAGTGGTTCAAGGTCTTTCGGTAATGGCCACTCGGTGCTACATTTTACTGGCGATCATGAAACTACTTCTACGCCTTTTATTGCAGTCTAGTAAGTGGCGGTGTCGAAATTATGCGTGCAAACAGTGATAAAGTCACGCGAACTTGTCTTTATATCCTTCGTATTTTTTCATCTATTTCAATCGTATTTGTCTCAAAAGTTGTACAACAGTCAAGCAGATCATCCGAGAAGGACAGGTTGGCATGCTGACTTAATTTGCCACCTTGAAACGACTACAAGAATGGCGAACGGACCTCATCTTTAGCATCAATTTAGGAAAATGTAGGATGAGTCTTGGTTTGAAATGTTGACAAAGTCTGGCTCCCGGCACCGGCGATCACCTGCGCGAACGGTTCACAAACCACTTTCGGTCAAATTTGTACGGGATCGGCGCTGGGGCAGATCGAAAGAGCTGGGCACTGTCCAACTTTGCCGGCGGTCCTTTGCGACATTTTACCGTATGATTTTGTTACGACTGCACTGGTTCGCATAAGCGCAATGCGCCGGGAGAGTTTGCAAGAAGCCCACCGCCGGTGACTCCCGGCGCGTACCGGCGATATGTGAACCAATCCTAATGAAAGTCCCTACATACGACGGAAGGAAGCCCCTGCAGCGTTGTGCTTGTGGGATTGTAAACACTGTCTTTAAGAACTTTGGTTGTGCCTCGGTTTTTATAGCAGTGTATATATTCCCATGAACACTACGACATCGGTGTGTACCCTGTACAGATGTAAACCCTAAAAACATTGACAGGATGCAACTCACAGGAATTGAAGATTCCTATTGCGGACAAAGAGATTGGGAGGAAGAGTTGAAAGTTCATTATAACTCAATTTCCTGCATGATCACAGGAACAACAGGAACAACATATA